ATGGTCCACTATGAGAATGATCTAAGTTTAAATTTTATCCATAGTGGGATTTTAAAGTTAACATATGTTCAAAGATAATACTACCCACAAAGGTGTCAAATCAGATTTGCTTCAGCTTGATATAGTCAAATATGCAAATAAACTAACTTGTCCAGTATCCATTGAAGAGTTTTAAGAGACATATAGGTAGGGATAGGCTTGCCATATAATGCTTGTCAGATAGTTTTAGCTTATTCTAAAAGGTCAATGTTTGTTTATAAACAAACGTTACATGGTGTCCATAGTATGCATGATAATTTCCAGTCGGACCGTGGACTTGGTACATTCCCAGAAGTTTCGCCGGCATCGTAGTCGGCAAAGTCAATGAGTCTCGCCATTCTAAGCACCACACAACAACTCGTCAAAGAGACAAGTGGAGTCGATCCTTTGACCAATTATGTCCTAAACAGTTGTAGTATCTCTCCTTCTGTCCCGGGTGCTAAGAATAGCAGCGCTCACTGACGATGCTGACTATGATGCCGGCGAAATGTCTGGGAATGTACCAAGTCCACGGTCCGACTGGAAATTATCATGCATACTATGGACTCCAGACATAGTGCATTCCTCAAGGTCTTCGTACCAATATGATCGGATTGCAAAAACACGGTCAAACAACTTCTCAACTCTACATGGTTGGGGCACCCTCTAAGGGCATTTAGGAATCCTGAATGAATTTGAAATTGCAGTTTACTCTCGAATAAAAAGCCATTTTGATAAATGGTGCATTCAAAACTTTGACGTAAATTAAGCATACACCGAATGATCACGTATTTAGACATGGAGAAAATGAAAGAACTCGATTTAATCCTTTTTTCTCGTCTATCAAGATGGGGTCATTAAATTGGTCTTTTATTTATATTTCTTTCGTTTGACTTCAAATCATTGTATACTCACTTTATGTCATGATGGCTATGATGAGGTGAAGGATAACCGACAAATTAATTACTGATTTAATTATGTAACTTAGTTATCCTTAATGTTCAAAAGTGAAAAGCTGTCGCCTGGGTTGAAAATAAAGAACCAATAAGAGTAAATCCTAAATTAGTGGCCCAAATAAAAAAGAGAAATTGATAAATTGGCATTGACTGACCGACTAGCTTCCCATTCATCCAGCCGTAGGTCATATAACGAGCATCGGTTAGACTTTTGCTAGACTGGCTATCTCTTGGCCTCGAAGCTGACTTACAACGCCAGCGACGGTAGGCCTGCTCGGCTCTCTGTAGGCGATCCTGGCGTTTGGCCTCGGCTTCAGCAAGCGATTCAGCTTTTCGCTGACGCTCAAATGAGACCTCACGCGACTTGGCGGCGGACCAGACTCGAAAACTGGCTTCAGATTTTATACGCTAAATGTGTTAGGAGGATAATAAAATTAATTTTGACCTCATTTTTATATTTGGGTCGTGGATAACATCATTAAGTGGATTGGCTTAATCTGATGAATCAAATATTATTTTGGATGGTGGAAGACTGTCTATACTGCTTTTTGGTTTCTCGAATATTAATAACTATTTTAACAAGTTGTTCATTTTAAGGTAAAAACATTTTTTTTCCAGATCAATGGAGGCATTAAGTCATCATAATAGTTGCATATAAGGACATCAACCGTCTAAAAGAGACATGTGTAGAGAACTTACTAACACCCGAGTTGTTGGTTAGATACATGGATGACTATTTTGTCATCTGGCCTCATGGTAAGGACATTATAAATAGTTTCTTATTTTCACTCAACCAGCGTGAAAGGAACATTTGGTTCGCGATGGAAATGGAAGAGAATAAGTCTTTACCTTTTCTGGATGTTCTCATCATTAGAGAAAAGGGTAAGTAAGAAAGAAATATTTATAGGAAGCCAACATATTTTGGCTCTTTGTTTAATTTTCTTTCCAACCATAGTTACAAGACTAAGGTTTGAATTTTCAAGTCAATGATTCTTATAAGTATGAGGTTAGCGGATGGCAAACATTTTGACTGAAGAGTTGGAACGGCTGACAAATATATTCCTGGAAAATAATTAGCCTTTGGGCCTTATTGAGAATAATATCTCCACTGGGGGAATAAATTTTCAGGCGGAGACTATTTAATCAAAGATAGACCTTTTCTCATGTCA